CAACACAGGGAGGGTCAGTGAAAGAGTTGGTCCCTTATTGAAGGACGGAGGCAACCTACTGACAGAGGATTCAAAAAATGCTGAAATACTGAATGCCTTTTTCACCTCAGTCTTCACAGGTAAGGTCAGCTCCCAGACTACTGCACCTGGCAGCACAGTTTGGGGAGGAGGTGAACAGCCATCAGGGGCAATATAGCAGGTTAGGGACTGTTTCAAAAACCTGGGCCTGTGCAAGTCTATGGGGCACTCAAGGGTGCTGAGGGAGTTAGCCAACGTGATTGCAGAGTTGATCGCCATTATTTTTCAAAAGTCACGGCCATTGGGAGAACTCCTAGATGACTGGAAAAAGAAAAATATAGTGTGCATCTAGAAGAAAGGGAAGAAGGAGGATCACAGGGACTACAGACCAGACAGCCTCCCCTCAGTCCCTGGAAAAATGATGGAGCAGGTCCTCAAGGTATCCATTTCTAAGCACTTGGATTAGAAGAACATGATTAGGAATAGTCAGCACGGAAACACCAAAGGCAAGTCATGCCTGACCAATCTGATTGCCTGATGACATAACTGGCTCTGTGGATGCAGGGAGAGTAGTGGATATGAAATACCTTGACTATAGCAAGGCATTTGATATGGTCTCTCACAGCATTCTGACAAGCAAGCTAAGGAAGTCTGGGATGGATGAATGGACTGTAAAGTGGATAGAAAACTGGCTCCATTGTCAGGCTCAAAGAGTAGTAATCAATGGTTCAAAGTCTAGTTGGCAGCCAGTATCAAGTGGGGTGTCCCAGGGCTTGGTTCTGGGGCCAGTTTTGTTCAGTGTCTTCATCAATGGGAAGATGGGATGAAGTGCACCATCAGCAAGTTTGCAGATGACACCAAGCTCGTGGGGAGTAATAGATATGCTGGAGTGTAGGGATAGGATTCAGAGAGATCTAGATAAATTGGAGGATTAAACTGAAAGAAATCTCCTGATGTTCAATAAGGACAAGTGCAAAGTCCTGCACACAGGATGGAAGAATCCTATGCACTGGTACAGACTGGGGACTGAATGGCTAAGCAGCAGCTCTGCATAAAAGGCCCTGGGGGTTACAGTGGACAATAAATTGAATATGATCCAACAGTATGCCACTAGCATCCTTGGCAACAAGGGCACACTAGGTTGCATTAGTAGGATAGTTGCCAGCAGACTAAAGGAAGTGATTCTTCTTCTCTCTTCTGCCCTGGTGAAGACACATCTGGAGGACTGTGTTCAGTTTTGGGCTTGCCACTACAGAAAGGATTCGGACAAAATGGAGAGAGTCCAGTGAAGGGTAACAAAAATTGTTAGGAGAATGAGGCAAATGACTTATGAGGAGAGGTTGAGGGAACTGGGCTCATTTAGTCTGGAGAAAAGAAGACTGAGGGAGGATTTAATTACAGTCTACAACTACCTGAAGAGTGTTTCCAAAGAGGATGGAGCTAAACTGTTCTCAGTGGTGGCAGATGACAGAATAAGGAGCAATGGACTTAAGTTGCAGCAAGGGATGTTCAAGTTAGATATTAGGAAAAACTTTCTCACTAGGAGGGTAGTAAAGCACTGTTACCCAGAAAGGTGGTGGAATCTCCATCCTTAGAGGTTTTCAAAACCCTGCTAGCAGAGACAATCCCAGCAGGGTACGGGGCCTGGGACAAAGCAGCCTGTGTGGGGCCCCCTTCCCCATCCCACAGCACACTCACGCTGGGGAGTGAAAGCCCCAGCACACCGTATACAGCGGGATGGGTGGCAGCTGGAAATTCCAACTGGAACAAGCAAAGAGTCGTCCAACCTGCTGAGTGGGCAGGTGGGCTAAACTACAACCGTGGCCTCTCTGCCCAGTTCTGCAGGGCCCCACAATGCACAGGACCCAAAGGTAGTTTCCTTGATTCGCCCCCACCCTTGGGACAGCCCTGCCTGCTAGACAAAGCCTTGGCTGGGATGATCTAGTTTTGGATGGTCCTGTTTTGAACAGGGCCTAGATGACCACCTGATGTCCCTTCCAACCCTAATTTTCTATGATTCTATGATGCTAAGTAAGAAGGAAGAGCTGTAGGGGGCCAAGGTATGTTTAGGAGGTTGTAAATAATTTAGACCAGATTAGGGAAACTGATGTCATTTCGAATAATCCAAGTTAGAAAGGGTGTTTTCAGGAAGACTGTTCATAGGAATTGTGTGCAGACAGGGAACCATACATGTATGGATTGTGGAACAGATCCTGGATCAGCCCAAATCAAGAGACTGACAGAGAATTTATGGGGTAGAAATGTTGCAATAATCACCTCTTCTGGATAGTAGGAAAATCTTTGCTTGGAGCTATGTTTGGTTGAGGTCAGGACATTTTATAAGAAAACGGAGGCAATCATAGGTAATTAATGTGATCCAGAGCTTGAGTTTTGAGGTGGAAGGGGTGGATACTTGCTGTCTGTCTGAGCCCAGTATAGGGAAGGCCAAAGGAAACCTAGAATCTATGCAGGATAACAATAAAAGGGATTTCACAGAAGGAGGTGGTCATTACATGTTAAGGACCTGGTGAGAGGACAATCCTAGTAAAGGATTTTCTGAATGTATGTGCCAATAAGAAACTGTATATTTAAGCCTCTTCACATTTTAAAACAAGCATTTGTACAACATCCTCCTGTTATGCCAACAGTGTTTAGTGTACACCCTCTGTAGTGTGGCTCATTGTATGATCCTCAGCTGAGGGGACTGCCTCTCCGTCAGGATGATATATAAGGCATTGATTAGTCTCACACCACCTAGGTGTGCTGTTGGAAGAAGGATCCATGCTACAAATATCCTTGGCCAGTAATGGGTGATTGTGTTTTACTGTAAGTGCCACTTACAGTATATATTTGAAAACATATTATATTTTAGTCTATCATTGTAGTAGATTGGTGAAGTGAAGTGGGGAGGAGTGTAACAGTGGTGCTGGTAATGTACCAAAATTAATTTTCTGCACTAATACCAGCAGCTACTTTAATGATTTCATAGAAGGACCCAAGTAAAAGTAAATATATTCAAGTATCCCTGTTTTACTGTAGCTTATTAAAGACATAATCTCTTGGTGACTTAGAATATATTTTTTAATTCATTAGAAATACTACTGGAAGCTTGTAATCTATTTATGTTAACATGACATGGTCATTTCTCCTATTGAATTATGCATACTTAAAACTTAAAAAGGTGGCAGAAACAAAAAATAGGGACCATGTTCTGGGAAGTGCATTAAAGATAAAATATGATGCACTTAATGTAGAATATTGCTCCTTAAAATGGGTATTTACATATGTTCCTAAAGCTGTAAATAGACTGGAATGATCAACCTGCACCCTGGAATTCTCATATAGAATCAGACATTTATCATTCTATTAGGAAAAGATAATTACCCTAGAAGCAGCACACAATTTTATTTTTATATCTTTTTCAATTTTATACACAGATCAGGAAGCACACACTAATGTAAATAACTTTCCTACTCATTTTATTTTTGTGTATTTTCCTCCTCAGACCTGGCTGCAGTGCAACATGTTTTACTGATGATCCCAAATCATGAATTCCTCTGAACTCTGGAGCCCACAGACTATGCAATTCTGTTTTGACTTTGTTAATAATTCATGTCACAGGAATGTAAGGACTACACTCAGTCTTTGTGCTATGTACATCTTCATGGGAGGAGCAACAGTGTTCACACTGGGTGGAAATATGTTTGTGATCATTTCCATCTCTCACTTCAAGCAGCTTCACTCTCCAACCAACTTGCTGATCTGCTCCATGGCAACTACAGACTTTTTGCTTAGTACCATAGTTATGCCATACAGCATGGTCAGGTCTGTTGAGTCATGCTGGTATTTTGGAGAGGTCTTCTGTAAACTCCATACCTGTTGTGATATAATGCTGTGTACCACTTCGATTTTCCACCTGTGTTTTATCTCTGTTGACCATTACTATGCTGTGTCTGACCCATTGCATTACGTCACCAAAATAACTATACCAGTGGTAGAGGTTTTCTTATTAACTAGTTGGTCTGTCCCATTCGTATTTGCCTTTGGCCTGGTTTTATCAGAGATGAATACTGATGGCATTGAAGATTACGTGGCTTCAATACACTGCAGTGGTTTATGTACACTCATATTTAATAAGGTATGGGGAGTGTTAGCTTCTCTTATAGCCTTCTTTATTCCAGGCACAGTCATGGTGGGCATTTATGTCCACATATTTACTGTGTCAAGGAAACATGACACACAAATTGCTAAAGCCTCCAACATGTTAAAACCAGTTTCAGACACAAAAAATAAAATTTCTACAAAAAAAGAAAGCAAAGCAACTAAAACATTAAGCATAGTCATAGGCGTGTTTGTTTTTTGCTGACTGCCATTCTTTGTTCTTACAATAACTGATCCTTTCATTAATTTCTCAACCCCAGAAGACTTGTATAACGTCTTCCTCTGGCTGGGATACTTCAATTCTGCCTGTAATCCAATCATTTATGGTTTATTTTATCCTTGGTTTCGCCAAGCATTTAAAATGATAGTGACAGGTAAGATTTTCAGACCAGATTCGTCTACTCTTAATCTGTTTCCTGCAGATACTTAATCAATCAGAGAGGGTTTATTGAATAAGCTAATACATGTCTATGCTGCTTCTAGAGTACTTTTAGAGTAGTTCACATGTGGATTCATGCCTTAATATATTATTATTCAGGAACATACTTTTGAAGAAGCTTGTGTTTAGCACATCACTGGGTATATGGCATATATAATGCTTAGCACTTTGTCTCCATGAATTTTTTTTTAGAAAGTAGGAAGTGACGCAGTGGTCTAGCCAAATGCACAGTGCCTTTAAAAGATACACTCCTGTACAGATACAGGTAAAATGTGTAGATACACACTGCTAGATCATTTTGATAAGAATCAGTGTCCAAGTGTCACTTTGAGCCTTCAGGTTTTCTGCTTTTAAGTACCCATTTACTATTTAGATGACAATGTTTAAAGCTGGCTCTGTCAAATGAGGACTGGATGATTAGGACTTAAGCACTGAAACCGAGCAGGGCTATTTTCTATTTGCAAAAGATAATAAAAATGGAGAATGGAGAACACTGTTTTCTCAAGCCGAAGTAAAACTTTTGATATTTATTTTATTCTAAACTACCCGAAATGTTTTTATATGCAGCAATCAATAAGCAATTAAAGCCTATATTTGGAGCTCCTTTTGAATGTTCAGTGATTTAGAATAAAGCAGATATACAGCGCATGTGGTAGCTACTGAACCTGGAAAATTCTCTCTCCCTCATCCACCAATTTACTAACCCAGTACTCTATAGTCCCTGTGAAGCTCTAGGGACTGCAAGTGGGCTAGTTTCAGAGGACAGCAGTAAGAATCATTGCCTGACTTGGTTATATTTAACAGCATGATCCAGAGTCCCATTTTTTTGCAGGGTGATGTCAGAGGGAAAAGGACAGGCTTTTTGTTGAAGGGGGTCTGTCTGTAGCAGTCCAAATACATTAGCCAATTATATCCTTATTCCAAAATATCTAAGATCAGTATCCATATCTCTCCAGCTCCTTGTTACATGCCTAGGGGATAATTTAATATTTGTCATTATTAATTCTGATTTTTGTGCTTCTTGTAAAAGTATGTCTCAGGCATACAGGTTTTAGCTATGTTGGCCTACAGGCAAAAATATTCCGAACTCTTGGCAGAGGTGATCTCTTTTATTAGACCAAATAAATAGTTGGGAAAAAAGAGACTTTTTTGCAACTATTTAGTTGGTCTAATAAAAGATAGCACCTCTGCCAAGAGTTCTTAATATTATAAAAGTATGTACATTCAGCCCGAGGCAAGAATAAATTGGATTTTAAGAATAGAGAATACATGAATTGACTAACATATACTATATTACTGAAAATCTACAGATTTTGCACACTGGCAGAAGAGTTCAAGAGTGCATAAGCCTTACAGGGGTCATAACTGGGAAAAGGGATCCTTCATTCTGGTGCCTGAACTCACTGCTTATACATCATGCACCTTATCAGAGTCTAGATCCAAATCCAAAAGGGTAGTAGTTCAGAAGCAGCTGCCCTATTCCAAGAGAACAAAGGAACCCACTTCTTGGCTAAGCCAGTGAATGTTCTTTTAGTTTTGTCTCAGTTTGAAGCTGATTTATTACATGTAGTGCTAGTAGGTATAGGCAAGTGACTTCATTTCCAGCATCCTATATGACATGCTTGCAGAAACCCCCACTGAAATAAAGTGACAGTGTCAGCAACGTTGCAAAGAAAAAAAAAGTTTCAAAGCTTGTCTGATGAGATTTTAAGTTTCTCATATGTACAGAGGTTTAAATCCAGCTCCCCTTGGTAAATATATATCATCAGATTATTTTATGAGCAGTTTGAGAAAATGGTTTAAATTCCCAGGGTAATTTGAATTTCCTTTAAATGTATAAGATTAGTATTTGGGACAACCATCACCTTGACTCAGTTTATACAAAGTCAACTCTAAGCCAATTATCCCAGAGTACTTAAAATTGCTTATACTTGGTAGGGAAATCAGACTAGAGAATCTGGCCCCTTGCTTATCAGCACTTGTTAGTCATCTCTTTTGTTCAAACTATGCCATGAAGCACAAGTATGATGAAATTCTCATTTTCTGTATATTTTAAATCACTGAACATAAACTCAAGAGTTTGGCTTTGATTTGAAATGCATATGCAGATACAGAAAAAGAAATCTGAATGCTGAGCAGGACTGAAGAAGGAGCTCCAGGAAGAGACATGCAGGTTCTTTTGGTGGCCGTGCTCCCAGGGAGAAGTATGTTCTGTTTGCAACAAACAGCATTCGAACAGTAAGGGGAATCAGTGAACTCTGGGGAGAGGCTATAACAGCCTTGTGTTCAATAAACAGTCTTACAGCAGCATCTTGGTAATCTTCATTAATTAATGTGAGCCTTCTTGAAAGGATGCCTTCATTAATACATTTCAGAATTAACCCTTTGTTAGCAACTGAAGAGTCTGTATTTTATTCTTACCCAATAAGGCCCTGTGTTGAAATAACCTGAAAAACAAGATCAGCCGGCAGCACACTTGCCTTCCCATGTGATGCATCTCTCTTCACTAGAGCTGTGGGGGAACATTTTTCTCAGAAGTCAGTTCACTGAAACATGAAGCTTAGGTCAAATTTAGTGAATAGTTTTGGACATATATGATTGGGGAACCTTTTCTGAACTGGGGAAATACTCAAACTTTCATTTCAAGATAATGTTTTTCACATTTTAATTTTAATTGGCCAAATTTTACAAAACAGAACTTTAAGTCAACCTGAAACAAAGCTACATTGCTTCTGCTTTGTTTTCAAGCAAAGTGGGAATGTTCCAATTTGCTGAAATCAAGCCATATCATTTCTTATGATTTGGTTCAGTAACTGAAAAAGAAAAATCTGTTATCTTTTTTCCTTCCACTAGAGTGGCACAAGGCTGATCCATAGACCGGGTCAGACCCCATGCCATCCCCACATTCCAGGATCAGGTCCCAGGGCGCTGCTTGGCCTCTGTCCAGCTCTACTGACCAGAATTGGGTTCCAGAGCCATAAGCCACCTCCTCCCAGCACATGACCTGGGGTCCTGCATGACAGAATTGGCTCTGGGGCTCCAAGGCACCTTGACACACTGGGATTGGGCTCCAGGGCCCGGAGCCATTTATGCCTGGTATGGGATTTAGCTCCAGGGCTGCAAGCTGCCCAATCCCAAGTTTAGGCTCCAATCACAAGATTTTGTGCCCATCACAAGGTCAGGCTCCAAGGCTCCAAGCTGCCTCTGGGTAACTCCAGTGGGATCAGACCCCAGAGCCCCACACTATCCCCAGCCTCACATCACCCTGTGCACCCAATCTAGCACACAGGGCCACAGCCCACAAGGTTTCCCACAGATCCGTGAAGAGCCCTGTGGCCCAGATGACATGGCACTGGGGGTTATATCTGGCCTGCAGGCTGAGAGTTGAGCACCCTTGCAGTAGACAGTGATAGTACTCAAAGACTTTGGAACCCACTTTAACTACACCATTCGAACACGCCCAATACGCTTACTGAGAGAAGATACACTGCTGTGCCTGCCAAAATTCCATGTGGATGCGTTACATCCATAGAACTCCACATTGTACACACTTAGGTGGGGATTTATGCCCATGACAGGTGATGTATCCATCAGCATGTGTAACAGGGGACCTTCCTGGGGCTGGTCTGCCATTGGCCCGCCCACCTGTTTCTGAGCTAACGGTCCATCTCCCTGGTCTGCCACGCCTTGTTGTTTTTTAATTGGTTCTAAGAAGTCAGGAGGCTGTCCATTCTTGACCCAATGCCAGGGGGCACTATCTGTGGCTCCATTCATCTCCCACACCACAGCCCAAGAATTGCAGGTGACATCCAGGTGACAATGCTCCAGGCCTACAGCCAGGCCAAGCTTAGCCCTCATTGTTAAGGCTCAGACACACATGCATTCATACTGCACTTCTCTCACTAGGGCCTTTCATGCATCAACAAATTATACTGCCTTGCTCCCCCTTGAAGCAGGCCCTTTCAGCTCTAAGCTTTATCTAGTGCACACCTTGGGTGCCAGACGTACCATCTTTTGGGCCTCTCCCGTGCCCCTCACCAGGGTAGTGGCCAGCCAATTACCTGACCGGGACCAAGCGTGCCCTGGCCCCTCCTGGGGCAACTCTACAAAAACTCTCACACACGCACTGGCTCCCAGCCCTCTGGTTTCCCCCTCACTGGGACTCCACATCTCTATCCCTTCACTGGGGCCTACCCTCACTGGGGCTATGGGGCTTTCCCCGGTGAGGGCTCAGGTGGCCATAGCCATGCTTGGCCCCAACTGTTACCCACAGAAATGTGGGCGTTAGGAGTTATTGAGGCACCCCAACCCACCTTCCACTGGGGTGGTAACTGGTCTGGTATTTTCCTGGAGGTCCCACACCACTGGGAGCCCCAACAGGCCACCCACTCCCAACAGGGTGAAGTTTTAGGTCATGCCCAGGACTAAGAGCCTCCAGTTCCTACCTGCAAGATTTTCTATGCTGTAGTTCAGCCAGGCAACATTCCTGCCTGGCCACCAGTAGCAATCTGCTCTGTTTACATAGATAGCCAGTGTCTCAAAATGGCTGCCAAAATCAAGCACGTGCTGCAGGCACCAAAAATACCCTGCCACAGCATGCATTCAAAAAATCTGGTTTTAACATGTGCAAATATCTGTAGGTACAACAGATGAGTCCACCTGTGAAGGATTGATTCAAAATGGTCCATAATGACAACACTGGAAATTAGATGCTCCTATTAATTCAAGAATAAAAATAGCACATATGAGATATGAATAGCATTTTCATCCAAATGCTTGTAAAAGTGAATAGAATGTCATATTAACCTAGAATAACAGTGTCAACCTCTACTTGCCCACTGGGCTGGATCCATACCATTAGGTTCCTCAGAGGCTGGATTTAGAAACCATTACAGTGGCAAAGAGATCAGTATTGGCACAGAGGCTAGCAAAGCCATTTTTCAGCCTCTCCCACTGCTGACATATCCCCAGCAAGATCCTGTGACCCAGAA